TTTTTTTTTTTTTTTTTTTTTTTTTTTTTTTTTTTTTTTTTTTTTTTGGTTTTTGGTTTTTGGTTTTTTAAGACAGGGTTTCTCTGTCTAGCCCTGGCTGTCTTGGAACTCACTCTTTCGAGCAGGTTGGCCTCGAACTTACAGAGATCAGCTTGCCTCTGCCTCAGGCATGTGCTGCCATGTCTGGCATCCTGTCCATCGTCTTTAAATGCTAGCTACTCACCCCGTTGCTTCAGGACCCTATGAGGAAAGTACAAAGAATATTATCAGGCCCCATTCCCGCTGTCTGTCAGAGTCTGCGGGAGTCAGGAGAGGGACCTGCCTTCTCACTTGCATGGTGGCTAATTTTGGTGCCCAAACCTGTGCCAACCTCTTTGTTTGTTTCTGTGGAGGAGACAGACCTGCAGAAGGTGTGTGGTCTGAGGTCACAGGGCTATGTAGAGAAAGAATTCAGACACAGTGCACGCTTCCAAGACAGGTCCAGGATTCAATGTGGTTACCTGTGTGTACACTCAAGCCCGGCGGGTGTGGTGAAGGGGACCCGGTAGGGCCAGCTGCCGTAGATGCTGCCTCAGAGTGGCACTGACTTATCCTTTGGCGTTCCAACCTTTCTGGCTTTGTTCTTGTTACCTCGGAAGCCTCAAGAACCACACTGGCAGCCAGGGAACCCCGTTTGCCAAGCTGGTCACTCAGCAAGCAGTTCATCCATTTGTTACAGACGTGCCGAGCTCTGTGGCATGCACTGGATACAGATGTGTGGTGGGCACAGAGGAACACGCTTGAACTCAAGGTGCTACTGCTCTCCTGGAGAACAAGAAAGCATGGGCAGGAATGAGGAGATGAATAATTTTATACCTAGTGATTAGTTCTCGAAGGACACGAACTGGGTAAACAGCATGGTGGGACTTCCTTAGACAGAGTGGCCACGGGAGGTCTGAGGGACACCGACACCTTTTCTCCCCAGACTAGAAGTGAGTCCCTGGATGCAGGGGACGGATGCGATCTGGACTGAGCTCTCACTGAGGGTGGGAACTGGACTGCCAGTCTGGGGGACTGCAGAATCTTATTCCCTCATGGACACCCTCCCCCTCCCCTACCACTGCCACCACGGGTTGACCCGAGGGACAGAGAAGCAGGGACAGCCAAATAGGGCTCAGATTAAAGTTAAGAACATGGCAGGCTCTGTCAGGCGCTCCCAAGCACCGCCCATTCCTAACCCTCCTGCTCCACTTCCTTCCTGGCTCTTTCCCTTCCTACCTTCTCAACCTGGGGGAACCACTGTGCCAGGTCCCTCCCTTCTGGGTGTAGCTGGCTGCCTCTGTGGCCACTGGGATTTATTTATCTAACTCAGGGTCACCAGGGAGAGAGGGTGGGTCGAGGCTCCGAGAACACTGGGGTCCTGGGAGACAGCAGAACCAGAAATAAGGGCAGGGGTTCTGAAGTGGGCAGGGCTCATAAGAAGCTGCCCAGCTGGGCTTAGGCCAGAAGAGCTTCGGGGCTCTCTTTCTGTGCCCTTATATTTGCTCCCCAAGCTGAATGTCTCTCAGACCAGAGGGGCAGAGGGGTCTGGTTCAAGCC